TGTTTTTTGCTTTGTAAGATTTTTTCCCCTCGTTGGCTTTGGCCGACATCTTTATTTCTATTTTTAGTCCGGTTTGACAAAGTCTTATCGGTCAACTATTTTTCTGTTTTTCTTTTCTTTTATTTGTTTTTCATTTATAGTTGTTTTCTTTTACCTTCGTTATTGTGGAAAAAATAGGCAAAGTTTAAGAAAAGCAAAAAGAAAAATAAAGAAGTTTTTTTGAATTTTTCTTTTCAGTTTTATTTTTTCGCCGGCGGCTTCGATCGCAAACCTGTATTTTTTAACTGGTTTGACTAGTTTCAAACCAGACTTCTGTTTTTTTTTCTCTTTTGCATTTTAATTTATAGTTTTGTTTAATTTTAACGTGTGAAAAAAAGGAAAAGGAAGTCCCTTTTGTTGATATTTAAATTTTGAACTTGTAATTTTCTTTCTTGTCGAACTTGTTTTTTTTTTCAGTTTTCTCGGCGGCATTTGGACGCCATTTTGAATTTTATTTCTTTTTAAAGTCTTACCAGATTACTTATTTTATTTTCTTTCTTTTATTTATTAACTACTTATTTGAACGAGTTTATTTAATCTAGTCTTTTTTTTTCATACTTTATCAGTTTTATTTATTTATTGTTAGTTTTTGATTTCTTTGCTTATTTTTCGGTTTCGGCCGACTTATTTTTTCTTGGGTGAACGTTTTCCTAGTCTTTTTCTTAATTATCAACTTTATTTTTGAAAACTTTATTGTTTTCACTTTCTTCTTTTTCTTTTTCCAGTCGTTTTTGGTTTAATTCCTTCTTTTCAAATTAGTTCTTATAAGTAGTTTAGTTTATTATTTTACACTGGTTTATCCAGTCTTTTTTTTGTTCTATTAATTCTTTAGTTTCACACTTTCCTACTTGTAATACTTGTTTAATATCTTCCATTATTGTAGAAGAATCTAATTTCTTATTTTTTCAGTTTTTGCTGTTTCATTTTTCCCCACCCCTACTCCATTTTATTTTTCACAAGAATTTAAAAATATACACACGCTTAGAGAAGTGGATTATAAAAATCGCCGAAGTGGATAGTCGTTCTGTGAAAAAGGATCTAAGGCAGATCGCTTCCCCCGGATAAAATTAAATCCAAAAAACGGCGACAAGCAACCCCTAAAAATCCTGACACAGTGCTCACAGAAAATACCATGACGGTTGAAAGTCAACCCAGTGATAAGAATGAACCGAAGGAGGCTCAAGATAAGGGAATCGAATTGCATTATAAAGACCGAATTGCATTATAAACACCGCGGAATTTTTGGAAAAGGCTAAGGGCTACGCACATCTTGTAAAAGAAGATGGGCTCTTAGAAGAAGTCCAAGAATTAAAGGTGTTTGATAAGAGAATGGTGTCAGTCTTCGTGGTGGACAAGCGTTCGCTAAATAAAATCACTCATGTCCCTGGGGATTAAACCGAAAAAGAGTTATCAAAAGAACAGGTTTCTTCATGTGGGACGTACTGCTGTCTAAGAAATTCTCCCTCTATTCAGCATGTTTTGATGGACGCTCGAAGGGTATTTCCTGGCTGGTGAGCAAGTCTCTGGATGCGGCGTGTGCTCTTTGCGTGCTGGATGTTACCATAAAGGATAAGGCTCTTCGTCTCATTGGGGTTTATGCGCTCAATGACAACGCGCAGCGGCCTGGTTTGTTTCGGCAGATCGCGCCGTTTTTGATGATATCTCGTTCGGTAGTTCTAACGGGTGATTGGAATGGCGTCCTTGATCCCGGTATAGATCGTATAGGGCAAAAATCAGGTACTCAAAACCGGATGTTAAGCCGTTTCGGGACTTTATCGACGGGACTTATCGACGAGATCAATCTCGTCGATAAGTATCGAAATGAGCACCCCCGGACTTGAACTAGGGGTGGCAGCTCGGATTCGGTGGTGAACGCAAGCTATATCGACCGAGTTCTAGTTAAGAGAGTCGACGTAGGGCTCGTAGAATGTTTCCATTTTATAGTTTACTCGGATCATAGGCTTGTCCGGATTCGGGTAAACTTAGATAAGACTAAGGTTAAGATGCCTGGTTACTGGAAATTGAACTCATAATGTGGTGGGATTCTCTAAAATCTAAACTTAGGTATTTTGCTGATGATTTTAGTCGCCGACTCAATCTAGCAGGGTTAGCAGCGCAAAAGTCTTGTGAGGCAAAGGTAGATCGAGCGATCAAATTCCGTGATAGTGGGTATTTGTGACGCTTTCCGTGACTATTTTCAGGAGCTGTTTCTCCAGGGAGCTCGGTCTGATCCCTGCTCAGTTCGATGCCTATTTAGCCGACTTTCCCCGCCTCGAGGCGGCTGAAGCGGCTGGGTGAGAGGGTCCCATTACAGAGTCTGAGATCTGGGTTGGCCTGGACAAGACTCCGGGATTAGATGGTCTTCCTTACGAAATGTACTTGAGGCAGTCGCCCATCTTCGTCCCCCTGCTGGCACTGATTTTCCACAACTGGATGAAGCAGGGGTCTATACCTCAACGCTTCACCAGGGGTTTGATCAAGTTGCTTTGCAAGAGCAAAGATGGTGGGGATGGGGTAGATAATTATCGGCCTTTGACAATGTTAAACACAGATTTGAAGATTTTAGCCAAGGTCTTTGCCGGCTGTTTTCAGGTTGTACTCTCTAGTCTGATTGGTCCCGAGCAGACTTGTGCTGTGAAGGGCAGGACTATTCAGGACAACCTTCATTTGGTACGCTTGATACTCACTCAAGCAAGTCGACAGTGATGCCGCGCTGATCAATTTAGATCAGTCCAAGGCTTTCGATAGAGTTGACCATCGATTTCTGGAGGCTGTTCTTTCGGCCGCCGGTTTCGGGCCGGACTTTCGCACTTGGATCCGACTGCTGTATGCGTCCCCCGGTGCGCTGGTAGAAGTGAATGAATTAAGATCGAAACCTTTCATTCTGTCTCGCTCCATTCGTCAAGGTTGTCCGCTGTCTCCATTGCTGTACGTTCTTGCGTTGGACCCTTTCCTGGGTAAGTTGAAGACGAATCCGGTCTTTCGCGGAATTTCCCTACCTGGTGCTACCACCTCGGCCAGATACTCCGCTTATGCTGATGGCGTTTCGGTTCTTGTGCCGAGCAAAGCGGAAATTAACGAAGTCAGCAAAGTAATCAAAGGCTATGAGATGGTGACAGGGGCCAAGTTCAACTGCGATAAGTCTGTTGGCTTTGCGGTTGGGTACGTGGAAGGGTGTTTCTCTTCCCGGATCTTTACTCTGGACGGACGGGCCGGTCAAGATACTCGGTGTCTGGTTTGGTCCCGACCTTCTGTTGGAAATGAATTGGTCGGAGGTGCGGGAGAAGGCCGAGGTTGCAGTTCGTCTGTGATCCCGGAGGAATCTTTCCTTGAAAGGGAGGGCGGAAGTATGTGCCTCGCACATCTACCGGATTCTCCTTTACCGACTCTCGGCGCTTCCACTCCCGTCTGACACTTTATTGGCGTTTGTAAGGCTCTTATTCTCCTTCTTGTGGGGAAGCAGAGCCGCCATGGTTAGTCGCAAGATCTGTTACCTTCATCCTTCTGATGGCGGTCTAGGGGGTGCCTTGCGTTGGGATTCGTCGACATACGCCTCGCATTACTTATCTAGGCCGGATGTGTATGCAATTAGATGAAAACGGCGAATTCTGGAAGGAAGACGATCGTAGAAACTTTCCAAGAAGTGCGCGCTCGTGTGAGGAAGAGGCCGGCCGTTCACCTCGAGGCGAGGAGACACGGTGGAGTAATGGATAGCGGCTTGGATTGAGGAATCGGAGAGCTGAGTTCGAATTCCAGTCGAATCCATTACATTCACTTACGTGCTAATACCCTTGGGAAAGGTGTGAATCCTCTTTCTTCTCCCTCTAGCTATGAGTAAATAGCAGGACAGACTGGGTTCTATAGCCTTGGATGGCAACTGGTCTAGGAGAAGGAAAACTCTGAATTCAAAACCTGCCCTTAGATGAGGGTGAATGGAGTCTCTCTGAGCCTTGGTTGGCAATCCATTTAGTGATGGTGTCACGATAAAAAACACCCTTGATAGCCCTAGCGAAGCATCAAGAATTCAGCTATTGACAAGATTATGAACTACACCAATCAAAGTATTAGTGAGTTCAATCTCGGTTGAGGCCGCAAGATGATGACTATCACGAATGTCAGCTTGCTCTCAAGCAACTCTTACGGGCGAAGGATGGCCTCTCCGACGTCCAGCCATTGTCCCGTAAGGCATTGTATCAGGTGTTAGGGGAAACGTTCAGGATGCTTTGATAGGCGAGCTTGGTCTGACAAAGCGGGAGGCTCGCTGCATATGGCCTTGGGCACCTGGATTAAAATGTCTCACTGACACTGAGGCATCACTCACCTAGATGATGATTCGAGGGACCCTCTGGGTCGCCAAAAGACTTCGTTCGGCGGGTTTGGCAAAGTTCTACCACTCGTCTCTTCAGCCCCTCAACCTCCAGCGTCTTCCTCTTTGGGTTGAGGCACCCACTCGGTCTGAACCGAACTCAGGGGTAGCTGGTCGCACGCTCCCTGAATACCCGTAGATTGTTCGACCGGTCACTGGAAAAGTTCCGCCTGCTGCCCACGTTATGTTAGTTTTTAGATCCAGTAAGCGGGGTGTTGTCCATACGTTCACGGTCGATTGGGGATGTAGGCACGGCTGTGAGGGTGGGCGGAAGGAAAATTAGAATGTGGCAAACAAGGAAATAATATCTGCAGAAGCCGAACAACAATGGGTAAATAATATTGATGTCTTTTATATAAGAAAACAACAACAGTAGAAAAGAGTTTACAGAAAGGATAGAAAAGCAATTAACACAAGAACAGAGGACCACTCCTCTACTAATTATACCAACAGAGAGAGTGTGTGTGATTAACTCGTTCCAAATCAACTTGGGAGGATATGTGACTCGTAATTCCAGCCCTACGTGGAAGTGTAGCTTTTAAGTTGGTTGTTGTAAGTGACAAAGTGACTTTTCAATGCGACTGCTACAACGACGATGATATTTCTTGAAGTTATTATCTCTGACTCGCCATTGGACCGACTCACTGCAACGACTGTCTCTCTCTCTCTTAACGTCACTCTCGTCTAACGCTCAAGTTTCCCCAACTCAGCAAAACTCGCGTTTATATATCAAACCGAAAGTTATAAGCCAGGTTGTTCACGCGCTTAACACGAGTGTCGCCATATGCAAAGTTTAAATTCAGATCTATTTCAAAACTCTTAGTGGATAAAATTAATTAGTTCAATGTTCATTTCAATTGTCTTTTCGATGACCAAATTCAGTGGATACAACTTGTGTTTAGATCAGATTTCACTTGCGGTAAACATACACTGATCTTATCTCCCCGATCCAATTTACTTCAATATGTTTTTATCAAAAATATTATTTTCGTCTATTTTTTTTTTAATGACCCAAATTAAACATCGCCTCCTGCCCTTTTGTATTTGTTTATAAACAAGTCCTCGCCAACCCGATTTGAAATTTATTCTTTATCCATCAGCCGTCTCAGGTTTCATATATCATTGTTCTAGATTCTTTCCTATTGATAGCGCTGACACAGTTTGTAACTTTCACGGAAGATCGTGTTTTCCATCTTCAATCAATAAACGTTATATTTGCGTGTGTGCATTCATGTGCGTCAACCTCTCTCTGTTACAAAGTCGCCAAACTGCGTTCCCTGCAGTGGGAAAGTGAAGACTCTAGGTCACGCCTTTTTTCATTGTAGTTTCATAGCTCCGTTGTGCAAGTTTGTTGAAGACATCATGGTTCGCATGCTGCGCGGAAATTCTCTGTCCTTGATACCAGTTCCGTCTGTAGCAATATAGTACCGCCGTTGACTAAGGCTGAGCACTATGTGTTCCTTTGCTTACTGGAGGTTATGTGAGTCGTGATATGGACGACGCGACAGAAGGAATTCCATGGGGCCGAGAAGTTTACCTCTTCCGAACTGATCCTGTTCTTTAAGCATCATCTTAAAGTCAAGATCAGAAGGGAAAGGAAGCGACTCCATCCATTGGAATTTGGCGAAAGGTGGGTGAGTCTTGCGCGTCTTTGCTGAGTGAATGGTGCTGACTTAGAGTGGCATTTTGATGCCGGTTCGGAGGATATTGCGTATGCTGGGTTGTGAACATTAGCAACCCTCCCCTTAATAGTTTAGTATAGGTCGTTTTTTGTTTTAGTTTTTTTTCCCTTTAGTAAACTTACCTAGGGTGTGTATGCTCATTGGCCCCTTTTATTTTTGACCCTATTTTTTTCTTTTAGTTTAATTCCCCATCCCTTCCATCTTTAGGTGGATAGTGATGTCAGTTCTCTGGTGGGTGCGCGGCATCTTTTGTTTCGGGTGTGACTTTCGTAACTGTTTTTGTGTTTGAATGAGTGTGTGTTTGAGCGAGCGCTTGGGATGTATGGATGTTTTATATTTTTTAAAGCCCCGCATTGATTTCGTCCAGTTAACTGATGTTGCTGCCACAGTTAGGGCTTTGTAGGGGGGGGGTATTACTAACAAAATTTTGTTTAGTTTCTTGTATATAGTTTTGTACACATTTGTAAATATTCATGGTTTTTTTAGATTTTTAATTATTATTTAATTCCCCTTCCCCCCCACACACAGACAATGACTTGTATATATGGGGACTAGTTAAGACTTCATAGAGTTTCTAAGGTATTATGGTGTATGAGGTATTATGGTGTATGGTGTATATATTTTTTGCATGTTTGGGTCAGTGTTTGCGGCTAGCTAAGTTTAATGTTAAAACAGAAGACCATCCTTTTCCCCTTTCCTCCTTTTTGGCCTTGTGCCCTATTTGTACAATTAATACAATAAATATTTTCACTGTTCACTCTTCTTTTCTATCCACTATTGCCATACGTTCATTCACTCTAGTTTACTACTATACGGATTACAATTCTCTTCTGATCATTATACTATTTAGCGATTACTACTTGAACAAGTATCACTAGTGCGGATATTATTGGAAGGCGTTACTACTAGTACCGGCGTTTACAAGTCTCGTCTACAATCAGTATTTTTGAAGTGATAACGAGCTTTCGTTTGATATAACAAAAGTGACAAGCGAATCCGTCCAACATCACAAAAGTGGCGACGAGGATTCCTTGAACTAACACAGACGGGAAAAATTGATCTGCAAAAGGTTCGGCAGAAAATGGAAGAATTAAAGGCCCTTGTGGCTCAAATGTTGTAACAACAGAAATTACAGCAGGAACTACAATTACAGCAACAAAAACAGCACCATGAACAGCAGTTTCAATTACAATTACAGCAACAAAAGGTTTTCGAGTTGTTTACTAAAACGATGGAAACAAAAACTTCAGATTCGTTTACTCCTGATGCTGTCGCTAATTCAATCACCGAGTTTCTGTACAATCCTGATGAAGGAATAATTTTTCCATCATACTATAGAAGATATGAACGAATCTCTAAAAGGGATTGTGCGCACTGGAGTGATGAGAAAAAAGTTTGATTGTTGAGGAAATTATCCCGAACATAAAAAATATATAAACTATATTTTGCCGAAGAAGCCGGGAGAAATAAGTTTTGATGAGACTGTCCTAACACTATCGAAAATATTTGGAAACAGGAGTTCGCTGTTTAATATACGTTGGCAATATCTCAATTTAGTGAAATCCGACGGAGAAGATTTTGTCACGTACGCAGGACTCGTAATTCAGGAATGCGAAAAGTTTAAATTGAATGAGCTCCTGGTCTGTTCAAATGTCTGACATTCGTTCAGGGCTTAACATCTAACAAAGACGCAGAGATTAGATCTAGGATACTTTCTAAACTAGAAATGGATCCAAAAATGAACTCTCCAGAGAATAGCAGAAGAGTGTTAAACACATTGTGAATTTAAAGTTTGATAGCCACGAGGATTGAAGAAAAAGAAAATTCAAAGGTCCACAGTGTCCGACCAACTAAGAGGAAAAATTCCAACTCTTGATAAAACTATCAGGAAAGATTATAAAACTTATTCAATACCTAATATTTGCCACGGCTTTTCTTTAGAAACAAGAAATTCTTTGAGTGTGGGAAATTAGGACACAAGAGTGCGTGATGCAGATTAAAAAAGAAGAAAGAAAACGCATGTGAACAGAATTAATACATTACATTATTCGGACTATTGTCCTCATCTTTGTCGCCATATTTATTACAAAGTTTCGGCCGTTGTACTCTCTGGCCTTCTCCAGGTGGTTGGAACTGAACCCTTTATTTCGCTCACTGGGATAGACTGTTCTAGTTCCACGTGCCATGTCTAATGGATGTCAGTTATCAGTTATCTCTGTTAATTCCCTCTCCAAGTTCTCCACCACCTTAACCAGGTATTGAACTCACACTCTTTGGGTCCTGTCACTGGATCTAACTAACGCCTTTATCCACTGTGCTATGCGTCCTTGAGGACACATGGCACAGTGGATAATAAATTTGCAATTTTTAATAAATATGGCGACAAAGATGAGGACAATAGACCGAATAATGTAAATAGTGTACATAATACCCCATCTCAGAAATATAAACAGAATTAATACATACAGTAATAATAAGAAACCCAAAAGACAAATTAATTACACTTCGCAAAAGAGGAAATATGTTTTCGTGCAAATAAATGGTGTGAAAATTAAGTTGCAATTAGACACAGGAGAACTTCTCACGCTTCTGAGAAAATCGCTTATGGATTCTCAGGGAAAAGATTAAACTTTTTAGGCAAATTCAGCTGTAGCGTTTCGTTCGTCGGGAAGATCAAAAACCGGTAGTATTTGTGTAAAACACACGCCTAATCTGTTTGTTACAGATTGGGTGGCATTGTTTGATCTGTGGGACGTACCTATTAACTCGTTTTGTAACAACGTAAATACTGTTGCCAGTTCTAACACAGCAAATGAAAAACTGAAAAGTGAACTGAAAAAGACTTTTCAGAAATTTTTTTCTGAAGGTCTTGATACATGCACGAAAGTAAAAGCCAAGTTTCAATTGGAAGACAAGGTAACGCCTACGTTTAAACTAAAAAGAAGTGTACCCTTTGCGACTGTAGCTCCAATCAACAATGAACTGGACAGGTTGAAGTAACATCGAGAATAGACTATTCCGAATGGCAAGCACCGACAATCTACGTTAAAAAGCATTTTTCGACGGGACTAAACGAAAGTTTGAAACAGCATAATTGCTCGTTACCTACTCCAGAAGAAATTTTTGCAAAAATGAATGGAGGTAAATTTTTCATGGAGCTCTCAGACGCATACTTATAAATACTTATGGATGAAGACTGCTTAAAATTACTAACTATTAACACAAATAGAGGGTTATATAATTTCAACCGTCTTCTTTTTGGTGTAAAGGTTGCACAAATAATGGATACCATGCTGGCTGGGTTAGATTGTGCTCAGGTATATTTGGACGACATATTGGTAAAAAGCAAAACCCGAAAAGAACATGCTGAAGATTTAAAGAAAGTTTTTGAAAGAATCAAAGATTATGGTTTCAAAATAAGTGAAGAAAAGTGTGAGTTATTTATGTCCAAACTCAAATATCTAGGGCAGATTATTGATGAGACCGGTAGACGACCGGATCCTGAAAGAGCAAGAGCGATAAAGGACATGCCCGCGCCAACTAATATTACAAAACTACAAGCATTCTTACGTTTTGGAAAGTATTACCATAATTACATACCTAATATGCACGAGTTGAGAGCACCATTAAATAATCTACCGAAGAAAGATGTCAAAGGGAACTAGATAGAAAAATGTCAAAGTGCATTCGAGCAGATTAAGAAAGTAATAATTTCAGAGCTATAACTGACTCATTTCGATCCTAACCTGAATATTGCCATTGCATCTGATGCAAGTGATACAGAGATTGGAGCAGTGATATTACAGAAGTATGACTACGGATCAACGAAGCAAACAGGGCATGCTTCAAGGTCGTTAATTGCGGCTGAAAGAAGCTACAGTCAAATAAAGAAAGAAGCATTGGCTATTATATTTGCAACGAAATGCCACAAGTTCTTACATGGACGGGAATTTATTCTTAAAACGGACCATCATTGTTATCAATATATGGATCTAAAACGTGTGATCCTACTCATAAAGCGAATAGACTGGGGAACGTTCCTATTAAATTATAACTACAAAATGGAATTTTTACCGTCTAAGAATCTAAGTAATGCGGACGGATTGTCTCGATTATTACCAAGATGTTGTGAACCACTGGAAGACACGGTAATTGCAGCGATAATGGCCGAGAGAGAAATAAGCAACGTACAGTGAGAGACCTGCCAATTAGATTGGAAGAAATAAAAATTAAGGCAGCAAATGACCACTTCATAGTAAAAATGAAGGATAAATTTAAATCTACAGAAAAAATACTATTGGAAATAGTAATTCATTTTCATTGTGCGATGGTGTACACTGAGAGAGTAGTTATACCAGCGTTGTTACAAAGACGAATGTTGAAAGAGTTTCATAGGGACATCCGGGAATTTCTAAGCTGAAATCTTTAATGAGATGCTACACCTACTGGCCGAATATGGATAAAGATATAGAAAATGTGGTAAAATTATGCAGGTGTTGCGTTCTGGCAGCAAAGTCACCGCCTATAAAAGTTCAACCTTGGCCGACAACTGATAGACCATGGACTAGAATTCATATTGACTTTGCACGGCCAATAAATGGAGCGTATTATCTGGTAGTAGTAGATAGCTTTACAAAATGGCCAAAAATACTAAAATGCAGGGAACCGACTACCACAGCAACTATTAATTTCTTGTATGAAATATTTTTTGCGAGATTTCGCGTTCCTGACTCAATCGTATCTATCAATGTACGCAATTCACGTTCAGTGAATTCAAGTTCTTTTGCAAGTCACAAGCAATTGAACACATTGCTACTCGCCCGTATCACCCTAGATTGAACAGACTAGCAGAACATTTTGTTAACACATTTAAGAGGGCTTTAAGGAAAACGGATGGAGAGGAGCCGGACGAGATGATGTTTCAATAGTTTTTAAGTGTTTACCTTATTACACCAAACCCAAACACCGTGTCGGGAATGTCGCCTGCAAAATTGATGTTCATTAGAAAAATCAAGTCCATCTTCAATAAGGTGACATCAAAGAATGAATTCACAAATACAGATTTCAACCCTGAAGAAAAAGTATTTTTCAGGAATTATCAGCGTGAGAAGGAATTTTGGCAAGATGGTATCGTTAAGGAACGTATTGGCAGAATGACGTGCATAATAAAAGGTCAAATGTGAGAGCACAAGCGACATATTAACCAGCTAAAACGTCGTTTCACCGAATTAAAATGTCCCCGATGGAAATTCTGTACGACACATTCAACTTTCCTACGCCAGCAGAAGCAGTGCAACCAAGGGTTTATGGCAAAAGGAAAAGAAGGCCAACAGAATTTCTAAACATCGAACCAAAGCTAAAAAAAAATATAGATCCTAGAGGAGGTCATTTCAAAGGGGAGGTGTTGTATATGAGTAGGTGTCGTTGCCGACACTGTGATTTGAAACATGGGTGATTCAATTATTAAGTAGATCACGTGATCATAAAGATAATGAATAAATAGGAAGTAGCGTGATGACTATACGCTCACTGTTCACTCTTCTTGTGTATCCACTATCACTATACGTTCTCTCTCTCTCTCTCTCTCTCTCTCTCTCTCTCTCTCTCTCTCTATTCTACTACTATATGGATTACGTTTCTCTTCTGATCGTTAGACTATTTGGCGATTACTTGAACAAGTATTATTCCGACGGATATTATTGGAAGGCGTTACTACTAGTAGTACCGACGTTTACAAAGCTCGACTACAACGAACATTTTTGGAAGCAATGACGAGCTTCCATTTAACATAACAAAAGTGTCACGCGAACGCGTCCAAGCATCACAAAAAAGTGTCACGCGAACGCGTCCAAGCATCACAAAAAAGTGATGAAAAAATGAGTAAATATGACAAAAAGGAAGAAATGGAATAAAGCAGAAAAATGAAATAGACGGGAAATATTTTATCCTAACATATTTCCTTTTTCATTCATATGGATTTTTCCTATTCATAATTTTTTTTTATTTTCATGCTTTTTTTATTTGTCTGCTTTTTCATATTTCTTTTTTTTTTTCAGCCTGTTTCTGTATATTTCATTTTTGATTTATCTGATATTTACACTTTTCTGATTTTTACATTTTCTTTCTTTTTCATTTTTTGGCCATTTAACTTTTTTGTCTTTTTTTTCTGTTTTTTTTTTTTTTATTTTTCTTCTTTTTTACTTATGCTATTTTCCTTTTTCTATCTTTTTATTTTCTGCTTTTTAAATTTCTATGATGTGTATGCTGTTTTCATTCAGCTGATTGGTTTCATTTTCTGCCTTCTTCATTTTCTACCTGTTTTTATTTCTATTTCTATCTGATTTTTTTCTGTTATGTGCTGTTTAAGTTTTCTAGTTTTCCGGCTTTAAATTCTTCTTATTAAAAGGAAAACTTTTAGAAAACTAATGATAAAGGCAGGAAAGGAAAATAGCACAGGCATGAAATAGGGAGAAAATGAGAGGTGCAGGAAATGAAATCAGTATAATAAAACAAAAATAACACAAAAATGAAAATGTAGAAAACATAAAATGCAGAAAATGAAAAATAGCACAAAAATGAAAAAGGTAGAAAAATAAAAAACAGAAAAATGAAAAAGGCAAAAAATGCAAAAATGAAAGAGCAGAAAATGAAAGAAACAGAAGGACAAATAAAAATAAAACAAATGGGAAATGTGAGAATATGATAAAAAGCTTGTAAAGAGAAAATGAGGAGGGAACACATAACAAAGGACCTAATTCTATGCACAGAATATGAAGCGGGCGGAGGACCAAATTAGTAGTATATGAGGTTCCTCCTAAAATCGTCGGGGAACTCTTGGCTGCCTATCTGTGCCAGTTCGGACAGACAGTGCTTCCTCTGACGATCTGACTTATGGATGGAGTTTCGAGATTATGATCGATCGCAAGGCCTTCATCTCCATCCCCAACTCTTTAGAAATGCCGATAATTGTTACCAGGCGAAGACCAATATGCCGGAAGTGTGTCACCTGTCCTCTTCCTGCACAGAGAAGAAGGCCTCTGAAGTTCTGGCCCCCGCCCAACCAAATCCCCCTTTGGTCGAGTCTGTTGTATCCGTCTCGCCTGTAATGGGCATGTCAACAATCGGGACCGGTGTGCTGAAACACCCGGTTGGGTCCAACTCTCAGCCCCCATCCCCTAAAAAGCAGGTGGTTGGCAGGGCGAAAGGGAAGCTTCAGTCAGCAGGGCCACGTTCCACACAAACAGGCAAAGACACACAGTCCCACTCCTTCTACAAACACGAAGGGAGACTCTTCGGCCAGCAATCTTCGTCAACACAAGCTGAGATTCGAACCTAGTTTTGAGAAAAAAGAAAAGTTACAAAAATTAAAAGACACGATAACAGAAAAACGAAAACAGCGGCAAAAAATATCTGGCCCTTCTTCAATTTCATCTTCCCCATCTTACAAACAACTTATGATACCACCTCCCTTGACAAAATCTCCGTCTCCCTCCCCTTCCAAAATGACTACTCTTCAAAAGTCTCCCAGTCCTCCAAAAATACTACCCCTACCCCTTCCCATACCCCAAATCCTTCTCCTGTCGAAACCCTCATCAATTCCCCTCTAAAATCTGAAAAACACCAAGGAAGTCCGTCCACTGATGCTTCCGAATCTGTATGCAAAAAAAAACCCCAAAATTAACACAGGGGAAAATTTTTGTACTATTACAAAAGAACAAAAGGAGAACTTGCATCCCAATGCAAAAACATTCTTTTTAACCTAGCCCTAACTACCAGACCTTGATTTTTTTTTATAAGCAAGGAGGTCAACTCTGCCTTAGCTAAAGCTAATTCCTAGTATGGGATTTAATTGCCCGATCTAACTTTTGCTCACAAGCCGTTAGCGCCGCTAATATATCTGGATTGAAGGCGGTCTGGGTATGCCTAGCATTGAGATTCGTCAATATATATTTCGCATCGCGTTCCGAGATTGAATGTGTCGTGAGTCGGCTGGGGAGGTCGCATTCTGGAAGGAAGACGCCTGTAAAGGCTTTCTCTGTCCCTGACAAGTGTGAACTCGAGCGAGGAGGAGGCCCACCGTTTACCTTGAGCCAATGATCCTTCTATCGTGAATGTTGTCTTGCTCTGAAACGCCGCTTATGGGTGTCGGATGGCCTCTCCAACGTCCAGGTGATGTCTCCTAAGTGTTAGTCAAGGAGTCCATTCGTGATGATCTGATTGACGAGCTCGGTCTTACGAAGCAGGAGGCTCGCTCAATATGGCCTTGGGCGCCCAGGTTGAAATGCCTCAATAACGATGAGGCATCTCTCACCTGGCTGGTGATTCGTGGGGCCCTCTAGGTCGCCAAAAGACTTTGTTCAGCGGGCTTGGGAGAAATCTCCAAACTGCCGGCGCTGTTGTGGGAAAGTCGAGACCATTGGTAATACCTTCTTCCATTGCAGGGTGGTAGCACCGTTGTGCAAGTTTGTTGATGGCCTCATGGTCCGCATGCTGCAAGGAAAGTTCTTTGTCCTTGAGGCCAGTTCTGTTTGTAGCAATGTGGCACGGCCGTTGACGAAGGCTGAACAATATGCGTTCTTTTGCTTGCTAGGTGTTATGAGAGTCGTGATTTGGACGACACGTCAGAAGGGATTCTATGGAGGCGAGATGTTCACTTCTTCCCAACTGACCTTGTACTTTAAGCATCAGCTTAAAGTCAAGATTAGAACGGAAAAAGCGGCGGCTCACTCCATCATGTGTGTTTTCGTATTTGTTGTTGTCTCTGAATGAGTGCGTGTTTGTGTGAGTGCTTGGAATGAATGAATGTTTTTATATTATTATAGTCCCGCACCGATTTCGGACAGTTAACTGATGTTTCTGCCACATTTAAGGATTATGGGGTTTTTATTACTAACATTATTTTGTTTAATTTCTTGTAAATAGATTATATTCATATTGTACATACTCAATGGGGATTTTTTAAATTGTTGTTGTATTCCCCTCCCCCCACAGACAAAGAATTGTACATATGGGACTATTTGGGAATTTCATAGAGACATGAGGTATTATGGTGGGTGTAGTAAGAAAGGTAAGTAAGGATGCGTTGTTTTGGTGTTAGGAACATTGTTTGTATGTTTGCGTCAGTATTTGTGGCTAGCTAAGTTTAAAGTTAAAATACAAGAAAAAGGAAAAAAGGAGAAAACAGAAAAACTTGAAATAGACCAGACATGCAGGTAAAAACAGAAAAACTGGAAAAAAAGAAAAAGAAAAAGCAAACCATTTTCAGCAAAAATGAAAAATTTGAAAAAGAAAAATTCAGAAAAATAGTGAAAACACAAAATAACATTTTCTGCTTTTTTTCTGAGTAATTTTGTGTTTTCACTATTTTTCTGCATTTTTCTATTGCTGCTTTACAACTTCTTTCTTTTACTCGTTTCTTTTTTTACTTTTACTTGATTCTTACTTTTTTACTGCTTTTTGCCATTTTTCTGCATTTTTACCCTTTTTCATTTCTTTTCTTTTACTTGTTTTTGGCATTCTGTTTTTCAGTTTTCTTTTCTTTTTTTTAAATTTTTTAACCTTTTACTAATTTTCTGCTTTATTACATGCATTTCTTCATTTTTCTGTTTGTTTTTATTTTTTACTTTTGTACATTTCTTGCATTTTGTCCTTTTCCACCTTTCTCCTTTTACTGCTATTCACCTTTTTTCTTTACCTGTTTCTATTTGAAAAAAGAAGAAATTAAAAAAATACAACAGGAAAACCTTTTTGTATTTTTTAATTTCTTTTTATCCCCTTACTGTTTATCTCCTTTTACTGTGTTTTTTCTTTTATTGTTTTTCCACCTTTTTTTAGTTTTTCAGTTTTTTTATGCTTTGAGCATTTTACATTTTTATACTTTGCACGTATTTTCTACATTTTTCTGCATTTCACATTTTTTCCTTTCTTCTTCCTTTTTTGTCTTTTAGTGATTTTTCTATTTTTTACATTTTCCTGCTTTTTTCAACTATTTTTCTGCTTATTATTCTTTTCAGTAATTTTACAGTAACCATTTTTCCTTTTCTTCATTTTCTTTTTTGCAATTTTTCCATTTTCACATTTCTGCTATTTTTCCTTTCTTCCTTTTCAGCTATTTCTCTTTCTTTCTTTCCTGCTTTTTTTGTCAACTTTTTCACTTTGTTTCTATGCAGATTTTCTGATATTCTTACTTTTTTCCTTTTTCCCTGCTTTTTTGTCTTTTTCATTCATTCCTGATTTTCTACTTAAGCTTTTCTTCTATTTTCCACTTTTCTGCTTATTTCTACTTAAAGTTAATTTCTGTTGCAGGAATTAAGTTTAGGCTTCTGCGTAATGAATTGTTCAGTGAGTAGAGATTTCTTTAAGTTTGTTGAATGTTCGTATAGACGTAAAAACTTAAGATGATGTGACGTGGATTATCGAAGCAAGTCGTTCGGTGTCACGATACGCAAGATATTTATTTGTACTATGGTACAAAATATGGCAGAAGGCCAAAATGTGGATTGGGGAAAAAGGACGGTCTTCATCTGTCTTAACTTTAAACTTAGCTAGCCACAAACACTGTCCCAAACATACAAACAGTCCTAACACCAAAACAACACATACTTACATTTCTTAAACATCCACCATAATAACTCATTGACCTCTATGAAATTCCAAAATAGTCCCAAATGTACAATTCATTGTCTAGGGGGGGGGGAATAAAACCACAATTTTAAAAAGAAGATCCCCAATGAGTATGTAAAATATGAATATAATCTATTTACAAGAAACTAAACAAAATAATGTTAGTAATAAAAACCCCATAATCCTTAAATGTGGCAGAAACATCAGTTAACTGTCCGAAGTCGATGCGGGACTATAATAATATAAAAACATTCATTCATTCCAAGCACTCACACAGACACGCATTCATTCAACAACAAATCCGAAAACACACACGCGAAACGAAAGGCGCCCCGTATCCACCAGAGAACTGACATCAGTGGCCACCTAACGAGGGAAGGGATGGGGAATTAAACTAAAGAAAAATAGGTACAGAAATAAAAGGGGCCGATGAGCATACATACCCTAGCTAAGTTAACTGAAAAAAGAAACTAAAGATTCAAAAACAAACCTAAAACTAGCCTAATTTAGGAATGGGTTGCCTATGTCGCTAAAATTTTTGACTTGTGTTGTTAACCGTTCTTTTTGTACTTTCGATATTTTGCAAACATCTTCTCCGGTATTAAAACTAGGGTTGGTGATCTTTTTCTTGGTTACTAATTCTATCTCGTCCGTTGACGGACTTCTATGTCTTTCTTTTTTTTTGTGGGGAGCTGATGGGAATTTGAATGGGATGGGTTAGGGGTATGGGAAGGGGTAGGTTGTTTTCTAGGCTAAGGATTTGGGACTGTGAGCTTTCTTGAGGGTAGTCATTTTGGAAGGGGTGGTAGGCAGTATTTTTGTTATAGGAGGTGGAGCCATATGCTGCTGTTTATTAGCTGGATATGCTGGAGCCGAAGATGAGCCGCTTAATTTTTCAGCTTGCAGGCGTTTCTGAGTAAGTGATTCTTTCAATTTTTGTATTTTTTCTTCTTTTTTTTTTCGTACGATGGTTTGTATTGCTTGAGTCTTTTGGAATAGCTGGTTGGAGAGTCACCCTTGGAGCTGCTAGAGTGAGTAGGGCTGTTTGTCCCTTTGCCTGTTTTAGTTGTTGTGGAACGAAGTCCCTCTGCCTGGAGCTTCCCTTTTGCCCTACCAACGACCTGCCATACCAAAGGGGGATCTGGTTGGGTGGGGACCAGAACTTCAGAGGCCTTCTTCTCTGTGCAGGAAGAGGACAGGTGACTAGTCTGTCGACACTTCCAGCATCTTGGTCTACGCCCTGTGACGATTATCGGCATTTTCTGGCCCTCTACAGTTGGGGATGGAGACGAAGGCCTTCCTATCAATCATGATCTGAAAACTCCACCCCCCCCCCGGTCAGATCGTCAGAGGACGCACTGGGTATCTGTCGAAACTGGCAGAGATAGGCAGCCAAGTACTCCCCGACTATCTGAGGATAAACATCATATACTGAAACCTTGGTCCTCCGCCTGCCTTCTTATTTAATGCGCAGAATTAAGTTTTTGGTTATTAGGTCTCTTGTTGTTGCTGCTTCACAATCGGCAGGTGTGGGTAACAGTACGTTCCACTTAAAAAAGCCTTTCCCTTTTATGATCCTCTGAGCTTTGATGCCCAGAGAAGTCAAGGCTTTGATAACAGTGTCTTTTGTGGAGCGACAAATTTTGCGCGAAAGCTTGTCCACCACAAAGACTGACACAATTCTTTTTTCAACCTTCTTCCTCGGGATTTGACAAGAGCCCATCCGCTGAGACCAGATGTGCATAGCTCTTGGCTTTCTCCAGGAACTCCGTTATGTTGATTTTACATTTTGGTGAAGACGTCCAGCAAGAGGGCGTCTCTCCGACCGCTACATTTTCGTCTTTGTTTCCATTGTCGTCACTTTTCTGGTTCTCGTTTGAAGAATTTTGACCATACTCGGCCATCTTACTTTTGTCTGAGAAACTGGTTTTTCCCAAATTTTCAACATTTGGGGACACCATCCTTTCGGTGGAAACCGAATTTTCGCCTAAATTTTGGCCCCCTTCGGCATTCATTACTAATTCTGTGTTTATTATTAATTTCAGAAAGCTTATCAGGCGGATCTTTCTTTTTCTTAGTCTCAAAAAGATTTTTTCTGGCTGTGTTCTTGGTTCATATTTTTTTTCCTTTTAAAACAAGATGTGTTTTCTTCTTTTTCACAAAAAAAAAAAGAAAGAGACAGAAATGCAAAACAAAAAATACGAATAAATCACAAAAAGAAACAGTTCAATGTAATAAAAAAACAACAGTTAAACGTGCAAATAAGGATCATTTAAAAGAAAAACGTACGCAAAAAGGAAAATGTACGGGAAAAATATAAACAGCAAGAAAAACAGGAAAAACACACAAAAGAATAAAATTACACGCAGTAAGTCAGTAAAACAATAAGCGTATCGTTTTTTTATAAAAAATAATACAACACTAAAATTAAAACAAAACGGCACACAAGGAAAATACGAAACCACCGATACGTAACTAATCACAAAACCAAAAAAGAGTCAACCCGATAACAAATAAAACAGGAAGAAAAAACAGACACATTAGACATAATAAATATAAAAAAATTAGAACAAATATGTACACAGAACTGTTAACAAATAAAATACAGAAGACTTAACGGATACTTAAAAGGAAAACGAAGAACGAAGTAACACGTAACAAATAAACAAGAAAAAATAAAGTCTGACGGAAAATAACACGTACAATAATAAACAGATAAACTCTGGCAGGGGTTACAGAAAATAAAACAGAAAAAATAAATTCAAAAGGGAACTTAAAAGTAAATGAAAATCAAAAAAGAAAACTAATAATAAAAGAATAAGAGCAAAATAAAAAATGGCGCGGGTAAGAAACTGAAAAAGAAAAAATCCAAAAACTTTTGAAAAACAGTCGTAAGAAAAGAACATAATGAAAACGGCAAAAATAAATCAAACTTAACTAAAATGTAGTTAAGAGTTCAAAAATATCGCAGTGTATCAGAAAAATTCGAGTGGTAATCACCAGTCAAAATCGGTCTGCAAAACACGTCTGATGCCACGGTGCTCACTGGTAAGTGTGAATGAATTTTCTCTATTTATTTACTTTGGGTGGCTCACAGAAAATAGGCGCCAACTTAAATTTTAGTAACGAGCTGAAAAAATACTTGTGCGTGGGTGGATAGTAACGCCCACTTGCGTGTTTATTGACCAATCAGAGCTCGAGGTTTTTTGTGTATGAAGTTGAAATTGTTCTGTGCTCTACTTTTTGCACAGATTTGAACAAATTATTTTTAGGTATTGAAATGATGTAGAATTTGAGAGATGTGTGAGAGATTTCAAAAGTAAACAGAGTAAGGAAGCGAATATGGCTAGTCGGCAGTGTTCATTATCGACGTCGACTACATCTGGAAGCAAGAGTTAAAAAAAGGACTAAAAACAAGAAGAAAGAGAATATAATTACCTTTTTATAGGTTTAAAGAGCACTCCTCTAGCAAGCGCTTTGGTAGCCCACAGGACCTCCTCCAGGTTGGGAGAATTTTATCTTGCCAATATAAAGTTCGAGTATGTTCTGTCTTGTCCTTCGTAGGATGAAAAGAAAAAGAGTCGAATGGTGTAGTTGAGATATGTGTGTTTAAACATGCCGACAAAATGTACTTGTTTGGAGTACTGCTGTCGCAGGTGTGTGTGTAGGCTGCGTGTTTGTGATCAAGGGCCCGCAAACAAAATTGTTCAAAATATAGTAAGATGACAACAAACTGGGTACAAAACAACAAGGCAGTAGCATTTGATTAAAAATAAAGCCAAATTTTATTTTTGGCAACAAAACCAAAATACATACAAAAGTTAAAAGATATTCATGCGAAATACGGATAATTGATTTTCAAGGATGTGCTGAAAAGAAGTGTAGCGGACCCCCGAGCGCCCCCGTATCACACAAGAGTGAATGAGGACACAAGAGGCCCGCTAACATTTTTGAAGACGTTAAATCTGACGGTCAAACAACATGGACGACAGAACGAGGATATATATGATATATGCTAATTTATTCTAGAAAAAGAAAATAAGGAGGTCGGAACGATGGAGGTGCAGGGGTTCTAGTGCAAGCATTGATGGTCGAGGTTGATGTTGGTCGTTGCCAGGATCATCGCTGTTGGTTGTTGGAGTTGAAGCTGATGTGGGTTGTTGCTAAGGATCATCGCAGTTAATTGTTGCAAGTGATGTTGGTGTTGGTTGTTGAAGTTGATCGTTGCCGGGGTGCCAACTTGTTGTTGTAGTTGGTCGTTGCCGGGGTGCCAACTTGACGTGTTGGGAAGGAAAGAAGAGCTGGCGTTGTTCGGGCATGTCACAGGTCCAGTGCAGGCGTTGCGTGTTTGCCGGTCGTCACACTAACATAGTGTACGGGAAAGGTTAAGGACGACGTGCAGGCAGCCAGTAGGGACAGAATGTCCAGCGTCGAATAGGAGCCAGGAGTAGTAGGCGAGAGAAAGGAAAGTTTCCAACTATCGTTAAGTTGGCAGACAAAAAAAATGGGAGCGTAACTTAATACGCAGCCTGTTGATCGACGTTCCTGGCCGCGAAGGCCAGGGGCCTGTGTATCCGACCGTTTCAGTTGCCGACCGGGATTTATTTTGT